TATAAGGTCGGATGGATGAGTCGACCGTGTGGTCTTCATGGCCGAGTAATTTAGCTAAGGGTGCCCCTGATTGGCATTCTACTCGGCCTGTATGAGTAGCTATGCTTGTGTAAGCAAGCTTTTCAATTTGGCTCGTACAGGGTGCTTGGCTGCCCTGTACGAGTAGCTATGCTTGTATAAACAAGCTTTTCAATTTTGGCTCGTACAGGGTGCTTGGCTGCCCTGTACGAGTAGCTATGCTTGTATAAACAAGCTTTTCAATTTTGGCTCGTACAGGCTACTTGGCTACCCTGTACGAGTAGCTATGCTCGTATAAACAAGCTTTTCGATTTTGGCTCGTACAGGCTACTTGGCTGCCCTGTACGAGTAGCTATGCTCGTATAAACAAGCTTTTTGATTTTGGCCTGTACAGGCTACTTGGCTGCCCTGTACGAGTAGCTATGCTCGTGTCCACGAGCTTCTTGCTTTTGCTCATCCATTTGACTAGTTGTTTGACTAGGTCGCAAGCACACATCCAACAATGTAGCTTGATGATTTTTTTTTTTTGATAATCATAATAATGATCATGACTTTGGGTTTTAGTGCCGCCCAAGTCTTATCCTTCATACAAGAGTTCGTCTCATTCTCTTAAGACTGACGACGTTCTAAAAGAATTACAATTTTGCCCTCACAATGGGTTACATTTGTACGGAAGAGTTCTACTTCATGAAAAGGTGTTCGATTATGGCTAAGTGCCATTCCAGATGTGCCTCCCCACAGACGGTGCCAAATGTTTCGGGCATTTTTTGGATAACCCGAAAGGGGGGTATGGATTCCCGCGGGAGACAGATCCGGAACGCAACACTCGTACGGCCCGAACACCTGCAAAACAACGGAACTCCGGTTTACCGGAGATCCGCCTCCGACGATCAAGTTAGTGACCGGAAAACAGAATTTTTGAGAGAGAGAAAGTAGAGAGAAGTGAGAGCATATTTTGGGCATTGTGCCTTTTGGAATTGTGTGTTGTCCCTCCATCATGAAATGATGGGGTATTTATAGGAAAGTGGGAGATCATGCTCCTAGGGTTTCATAACCTAGGAAGATTGGCTGCCCTATACGTGGTTGACACGTGTATTAGGGTTTCCTTCATGCTAGGCATGTTTCCTTAATGGGCTTTGAGCCCTTCATTTTCTGATATCTCTCTTTAGGCCACGTGTCATGCTCTTATTGGCCTTTATTTAGCTAAGCGGGATGCCACGTTTCGGCTTATAATCGGGCCACTTGTTGGCCTCTCATTTGTCTATAAAAAAGGGGGTAAAAATACCCCGAAACACCTTTCCCCTTGAAGCCTTTCTTCTTTTTGCCTGTGCGCTTGAACGACTTGCCCTTTTTTACCATGATCATATCATGTTTTCCCTTATCCTTGAGCGTTTGCTCGGATTGCTTTAACATACCATGAAGCTCAGTAAGGGTTTTCTCCATGATGTGCATATTATAGTTCATCTTTGAACTGATCATAGCCTCTGTGCAACGAGTGGAGAATGATGTCAATTGCCATCTCGGTTGAATATCCTGCATCAAGCCTTCCCATGTTCTCAAATAATCCTATCATTTTGAGTACATGTGGGCTAACTAACTCTCCTTTCTTGAGCTTGCTCTTAAGGATCTATCTATGGGTTTCAAACCTCTTAGTTCAGGCTTGCTCTTGGAACATATTATGCAACTTATAAATGATATCAAAAGTTGTCTCCTTCTCAAATAAAGTCTTTTGAATTTGGGAGACATTGTGGCCAACATGATGCATTTGACATCTCGATTGGCACTTTGCCATCGGTTTAGGGAAGCCTGAGTCACTTCCTCATTAGGAGCATCAGGCATTTCCTCATAAAGGACATATTCCTTTTGCTCTTGCATGAGAACAATTCGCAAATTTCTTTGCCAATCAAGAAATTTTGGCCCACTCAACTTCTCCTTGTCGAGAATTGAGCGTAATGAAAACTGGTTGTTTGAGTTACTTAAAGACATGATTCTATAATTGAAGAATTTTAATCAAAAACCATTCATGATACTTAGATAAGATTATGTTTTAATTCATGCATATTTTAAACTTATTTAACGTCTTATTTACACATAAAATTGTCCCTATTTTTGTGAAAATAAGTCAATTCCAAGATCCAAGGAAACAAAGAGTGGCTAAGCATACTTTGGCTTGTCTTAGCACTAAATCTCCCAAGGTAAGCAACACTTTTCTAATGGGGCCAAGCCACTCTTGGTTGAATAAATCGTCGCATCTAATGCTCTCTCAACAATTCATTCACTTTGCCACGACATGTAAGGACTCTAACACTCATATCGTTGAGTATAACCAAAACCGCTTGCATACCCGGTATGCCTTATGAGTCTAGGGAGTAATGGTGATGCAATAGGTCGATAAGTGTTGTTTTGGAATGGCAATTTCACTCAATATTTTAGGGACCTTAGGTTTCTATGTTGGTTGATTTAAGTGAACTTAATTAATCATCACAACATTCGAAATCCTAAACATGCATCTAACATATAATCCATACTTCCTCTGTTCTTTTTTACTTGACCTGTTTCTTTTATCACGCTTGCCAATGCAAAACTTCAACGATTAATAACTTTAATTCTCCATAAGTAAAAATTATAAAAGTTATATATTATGATAGTACTTCTTGAGACGAATTTAAAATATCCAACATGAACATGTTTTTCCTTACATATTATTCACAAAAAACAGTTAAAGGAGGAGTGGTGAATAGTGTAAAAGTCAAAGCGGGTCAAGTAAAAAAGAACGGAGGAAGTATATAAATGATCATAAATATGTAAAGCATAAGCACTTTGATGCATATTGGCAACAAGCATGACACCTTGAATTCTTCAAATCTTCAAAAGGTCTTCTTTTGCAACTTCATGGCTTTGTCTTCCAAGAAACTCCGTCTTCAATATTTGACCAAAATTATGCAACTACTAGTATCTACGATTAGGACTAATCTAAATATTAAGGTACAAAATACTCAACGGTACGCAGACCGCATTTAGATTTACAAAAATACATCACGGATCGCAGTCCGTATTTTCTATCCTAATCGGGCCCCACTAGTTGCCATTCTATGAAACCTGTGAGAGAATATACATTCCATTCATCCATTCACTATTTGTGAATGGCCCATGCATTTTACAATTATAAAACAAGTAACAATGCATAAACACGCGATAACTAGTAACTAATCTAGGTGGTTAATCCAATTAACACACCTAATTAAAACTAATCATAGTTGTTTTAACCGATTATGTAAATAAGCGCAATTAATATTTGAAACTCCAACTAAATTCCGCATCCAACATAATTAATCCAATTAATTAAGCCGGTAAAACCCAATTATTTGCCAAAATAGAATTTTGCAAAAGTCGCTAATAAAACTGAGGTCTAGACTCCAAAATTTTAATAAAATAAAATAATTAAAATGACAAATTAAGCAAAAATTAAGTAATCCAAAATATCTAAGTGCCTAGCACTAAGACTTGGAGTGCTCACAACTCGCATAACCGAATGATACTCAAGGAACGTGGGAGTGGGTCACGATGTCGATAGGCGTTACATCGCCCACATCAGCGAACTTTCACACACAACTTTATGTCCCATTATGGCTATGTTAACGTTGCACAAGCTCATTGCACCACATTGCTTCGCAAGAAATATCTACGCATATTCCCCTTAATTATGTACCAAGCTACGCACAAAAACACGCCCAAAGGAAGCTTAAATACAAGCACCATATGCGACTCACCTATGGCAAGCCACAAGGCCGCACACACAGTGCGCGCACAACAGCTAGCTGCTGCCGCACCTTGTGGTTGCCTTGGCTTCCATGGTGCGCCAAGGTGTGCACACATCAGCTCCACCCTCGGCACATAGCAGCACCAATCGAGACACCTGAGCAGCCTTGGCAGCCCATGGCTGTGTGAGCAGTCCGGCTGGCCGAGAGCTTGCTCGGGGCTTCTTCGGCGTCGATTTTTGGTGCTTATCCCTCGGGAAAAATGCCGATTTTGTGTGACATATTTAATCAATTCTAAATTAATTTTAGAATAAATTAATTTGGAGGAAAAATGAAAATATAACAAGTCCAACTTAAATAAATTCATCCAAGTGCATAAAACCAAAAATTATTCCAAGAACCATTCTTTAATAAAATTGGTTTAACTTGGTGCAACAAAAATAAGCAAGCAATTACTCACTATTAATTTAATTAATTTTAAATTAATCTTGAGATTTTGACAAAATAAAAGGGAGTTGGAAAAATGAACATAAGTTCAATAAAGATTCCAACTTTAATACTTGTGAATCCTTGAAAAATTATATCTTCCAATATGAAGATAAACAAATTTCTATCACAAGTTTCAAACTTTATAATTCCAATCAAATTAAAAATGATTAAATCAACAAAGTTCAACAAAAATTCATGGAATTTAGTAACTCAAAGTTTCAATCACTTAACATAATTAATGATTGAATCTTTAGTACTTAGAAGCCTCAAAGGACAAAACACACTTAATGCAATTAATTTGCAATTATGTGAAAAATAAAACCAAGCTTTTAAACACAAATTACTACCAAGTAATCATGCCTAAAGAGGTTTAAAATTGCATATATATATATATATATATATATATATATATATATATATATATATATATATAATAAGGATTGAACCAATTACATAACCACCATAAATATGCAATTAATTTTCAAGGTTAGAAAGACTTAAAATTTTTCGTAAAAACAAAAAATTATGCACGATTTCTCATAGAGTCTTTAGAGTAAATGACTCTATAGATTGGGTTCCCAGACTCCTAGGTTACAGTTGCGCTTTCTAACCCTTAGGAGTGGAATTGTGTCATAGGTTCGTTCTTCAGCAACAAGATGCATATTTCGGGTTCTTCCATCTCCCTTCTTTTTCCATCATGAGTTTCCTTCGCCATGAATGCAAGTTCGGGTTCTCTTCTATGTTCAAGATCAGTGCTCTTGATCCATCTTGAATATTTCAGTTAATTCGGCTTCTGCTGGTCCATGGTTGGGATGTGGTTTAGTTTTCTTAGTTGTCCGGGCTCCGCAGCTATTGGTTTGTAGGAAGACTCTTTCAGTGTTTTGTTCTCTTCGTTCTTCCTGTAATGGTTATAGTGTGTGTCTTTAGGTTGTTTATTGTTTTGTTTTAAGTTATAACATTGTTTTTGGTTAATAGAATCTTTTGTAAAAAAATAATAAAAAAAATGCTACAACCAAAGACGTCCTCATTTTTTCCTAAACATAATTATAGACGAAAATTCGGAAGTCAAACTTTATTTTAATGCCTACGTAATGTATAAAATTTCTGTGAGAGTGAGGGATAGCCCAAATGGTTAGAGCTTCCTTCCCAACTTCAGGAGATCATGGCATCAATTCTCACCCTCGCCCTTCTCGCTCCCTAAACAACAAAAAAATAAAAATAAAAAATAAAATGTAAAAAAAAACAAATCCGTCTCCGCCTCCTCACCAATCACAATCACAATCACACCTTCCCTCATGCCCCATTCCTCCTCCACTTCCAATTCCCCTCAAATTACTTCTCCAAGCCGTCGCATATCCGCCTGAATTCCTCCGACGCCTAAATCATCCTTCCTCCATCGAGATCTCCGTCGCCAGATCTTCGCAATCGGCACCGCTACATGATTGGCTCTTAAAATGTCCCAAAAAGGGGAAATTTTAATGGTGCGAAATAGAGGAGAAAAGGAGGATTTTGAGAAGTTTTCATCACCAGTGATTAATACTAACAGTAATAAGGATTCCCAACGTCATTATTATCAATCTAATTCAAATATGAAAGATACATCATTCAAAATAATTAGGCTTGTACTATGTTTAGTGGTATTTGTTACAGGTATAGTTATAGGATTAATTTCAGGCTCTCATATTGATGTTGTTGATAACTGGTATATAAATTCTCGGCACAGCCGCCACGGTGTCGCTGCCGCGCCACAGAATAACATTATTAGTAGCAGTCATATTATTAGTAACTGCACAATGGTTAACAAACAGCCGAAAATTGATTGTTTGAGTTTGGAGGATTTGGTGCATCCTAAAGAGTTGATTCATGGTTTAAGTGATCAGGAACTGTTTTGGAGGGCATCAATGGTGCCTCAAATTCAAGGGTACCCTTTTAAAAGAGTACCTAAAGTGGCGTTCATGTTCTTGACTAGGGGTCCTTTGCCATTGTTGCCTTTGTGGGAGAGGTTTTTTGAAGGGCATGAAGATTTGTTTTCTATTTATGTGCATACTTTGCCTGGGTTTATACTTAATGTTTCGCCCTATTCTGTCTTCTTCGACCGCCAAATTCCTAGTCAGGTAAGTTGATTCTTAGTTATTTCCTGCTTACATACGATTATTACTTGAAGTCTGGTTTTATTTTCTAATTATATTTAAATAATGTAGGCCTGTTGAGTTTCATGGGTATACTTGATAGTTGATACTGGTGAATTTTATACGAATTGATCATTAAGGTTAGATGGTATAGACACTAGTGAATTTGTCGAGTTCTGTGCCCTGATTGATTGTTTGTCATAATCTATAATTCTATGAGAATTACAATCCTAGCGATAGGGACGTAGTGAACTAGTGATTGGTGTTTTTTAGTGATGGATAGATTTTTCTTGTCATCTAATTGTATAGACAATTATGAGTATTTAGTGATGTGATGCTTAATTGAGAAGACACTAGTGAATTTGATTAGTGCTAGAATTGTAGAGTGTTTGTGCTGGGTTAATCAACCACCGTCTGAGGATTACAATCGTAGTATTGGAGAGTTAGAGATGTATTGTTTGGTGTTCATTTTTTGTGAAACTTTGGCACTCACTCTGATGGATCATTGTACCATGAATGAAGCGTATTTGCACTAAGTAATACATTCTCCTAGTCGCGGTTTATGAGATTGTGGTTAGTGCAATAAAAATATTTGAATTTTGAAGATGCCTCTGTTTACTAGCTATGCCACCCTGCTAAAGTCATGGCTCCTTTGGATAGCAAATGTAAGCATCAATTGACATTGTTCAAGACATTGTAATTTTCAAAGGTTTTGAAAGTAGATGAATACGAAGTATATAGTATTGGTTGTCTGTGCTTATGTAACTATTCTTCCGTGAGTAGATTGGTTTATAGAGTCTTAATTATTAATTTCTGAATTTGGTTATTTTTTAACGGATGTGCTTAATATGTTTATTTGTTTTTGATATCTGTAGACATTAGTGACCCTGACTTGTATAGAACAGAAAAGTTTTTTTTATTGTAATTGATGTACCTATTGAAGTTGATGAAAACTAGACCTATATCTACTACTTGCTCCATTCTTAATGTTTTTTCCTAATTTCCTTTTTATTCCATCTAGGGCTGTACACCGGTCCAAAACCGGACCGGACCTGGACCGGACCTGTTAGGACCGGGACCTGAATCAGCCAATTCTGAGGACCGGGGACCGGACCTGATTCAGCAGGTCCGGGTCAGGTCCAGACCTGAACAGACCTGTTTTGTGTGTGTTTTTTTTTTTTTTTTTTTTTTAAAGAAAATAAATAACCTGTTGGACCTAATTGTAGACCTGTTTACATAAAATCTGAAAATATCAATGACAAAAACTACATAAAATCTATAAGTCTCAAATATAACAAATAATTCATTAAATTACATAAAGTCTCTAAGTCTCAAATACTAGAAATACATAAATTATCCAAAGACAACTTGAATTTTGGCGAGTTGCTTTCCCTTTGATTGCGTGATTCACACTAATGAGTCAACGAAAACAACTTCATCGTCTCCATCGTTAGATACATCATGTTGCACCTCTAAATAAAAAAACATTATAGAATATATTAATGAATGATAACAATGAAATAATAAATTTGGTGTAACAAAATTACAAGTACATAAAATTAATACCTTTCTCCATTTCTTGTAACTCTTGCAAATTTTCTTCCATATCCTCTTACTTTTTCTGTTCCATATGTATTCCCGCCCCGCTTTTAACTTCTTATCTGGAGGCAAAGTAGATTGCAATTCTTCCATATCCTTTTCAAAAAGTGGCTGTGACATTTCTTGAGAAAAAGCAGCAGATCTTTTGGATTGAGAGCTCTCCATCTTCAATATAATTATACACAATCTTCAATATAATTATACACAATATAAGTAATTTTTAAGTAACAATTATAAACACATAACATTTTATAAAAAAATGTGAGAACAACTTACATTGCAAGAGTAAGAATCCGTGGTTCTTGTTGATCCTAAACATATAAAACGATAGAATTCAATTACAATTCAAATTGAATTCACAAAATAAACAGAATACATACAAATATACAATACACCAACAAGGCAGCAAATTCTACAATATGAACTAAATTCGAAAGAAACAGATTTTAAACAGATTTATCAATCTACTTTAAACAGATTTATCAATCTTTTCTGATTTATCAATCTACTCCCAGCAAATTCACGGAATAAACAGATTTTAAACACACAAATCGAAAGAAACCAAAATTCAACATGCATTCGAAACAAATGAACTAAAATAATTAAAAAACAGTTACTTAAAATAAATAAAAAAACCTCAAAAAAAATCATGAATTCGAAAAAAATGAACTAAAAAACAGAACTTGCAAACATCAAACAATCATAATAAGCAATTGAAATACAAAATACCCAATTCAAATATAATTAGATTTAATTTTAAAAAAAAAAAAGAACTTACAGGATACCAAAATTCAACATGCATTCGAAACAAATGAACTAAAATGATTCAAAAACAGTTACTTAAAATAAATAAAAAAAAACCTCAAAAAAAAATCATGAATTCGAAAAAAAATTAACTAAAAAACAGAACTTACAAACATGCAAACATCAAACAATCATTATAAGCAATTGAAATACAAAATACCCAATTCAAATATAATTAGATTTAATTAAAAAAAAAAAAGAACTTACAGTGAGATGCAGATGCAGGGTGTAGTCGTCGACTCGTCGTTGCAGGATGTACAGCGTGTAGTCACTGCTGGTCTGGACATCTGGTGGGCGGTGGCGACTTCCGACTTGTGTCTGGGCGCCTGGGCGGTGGTCTGGAGGGAGTGGGTGTTGCCGTGTTTGCTTGTCGGCAGAGAGAGAGAGAGAGAGAGAGAGAGAGAGAGAGAGAGAGAGAGAGAGAGAGAGAGAGAGAGAGAGAGAGAGAGAGAGAGAGAGAGAGAAGTGAGTTAGGGTTAGTGTGTTAACAAAAATGAAACTGACTTCTTTTGAAATTTGGGATTTTTTTTTTTTTTTTTTTTTTTTTTTTTTTTTTTTTTATAAAAAACGCATTTTTAACGGGTTTCATGTCCAGACCTGAAAACCCCGGGTTTGGACCTGATCCGGACCGGGACCGGAAACCTTGATTTTCAAGGACCGGGACCAGACCTGAATCTACAAGTCCGGGTCAGGTCCGGTCCCAACAGGTCAGGGTCAGGTCGGTTTTCAGGTCCGGTCCTGTTCATGTACACCCCTAATTCCATCTATGTTTGCACCTCCGACTTTTTTAGTCAAAACGCCCACTACATTTGGCCCATCAATTTCCACTTCCATCAGTTCCTTCCAACCAATAATTAAAAAGTGACTTTACTCCCAATTGGGCATACAAAAGGGGATGAAGGGAGTAATTGGTATTTTGTACATATTCCCTTCAACTAGCTTTTAGTATCTGTATGCCAATATCCTGGCCTTTACATTTTTTTTTGGCTGGGAGGAGGGGAGTGGGGAGTTGTCACAATGTGTGTGACTGTTAAAGTTGTAATAGCTACCTTATGCAATCAATCCTCTATGTAACCTGGTTAATTAGTGAGGTAACACTAGGAAAAGAATTTGCTCATGCAGTTTTATCTAGCCGTATAAAATATTCTATACAGGGACTAGTCTTCGATTCTTGTGGTAGGATGATTACCCACGTGTTCTCATCATTTGCCAGTTAGTCTGTTAAAGAGTTTCTCTTTGTTTGATTCTTATTTCTGACAGTGCTGTTGATGTTTGAAAGGGTTGATGTAGGTGGTGGGGCAGAAATTTGTGTAGGCACTAGTACGGTGTTGGGTCGTTGGGACCATGACGTCTTGTTATCTCCTGTTAAATATATGTATTTCGTTTTCTTCACATGATTATCTTGGTCAAACAATGATATGTGGCTGCACGAAGATTTGATTTCCAACTGTCCCCTTTTTTACATACTCATCCCTGCCCAGTTTTCGTCTAAATGGTCCGTCCATCCGCCTATAATGCAGTTGATTGGCTATTTGGCTGTTGCCTGTTTTCCATGCTAGTAATTTTAATCACTTTTACGATTTTTACCTCCTTGTAAGCATGAGGCTTGAATATTAATTAAGTAATCATCAGTCATGCTAGTGTAGTTGAGTTGTTGCAGTGTCTTTGAAATTTGGGACTATTTCGCACTCAATGTTCTAGACAAATTATTTGACTTGTTTTTAACTATAATTGGTTCAATACACGTATTTTTTGTAAACCCTTAATTGTAGAGGAAACACTTTATGGGTGTATGTAACATCTTTGTCAGTGATTGGATTGTTTAGTTTCTCCTCCAAAATTAGAGGTTCCATATGTGTCTTATCTAAGGGAAAATTCTCAACGGTAACCCCCAACTTTTGCTACGCACCAATGGTAACCTTTTTTTTTTTTTATTATACAAAATGACCTTAGTTAAAAATTTCATCTCACTTATGACATTTATGAGAGTTAATTAATTAAAAGAAACTAACTATGGTTAACATTGAAAAAAAAACTAAAAAAAAAAAAAACTAAAAAGAAAAACCACCAACCCAGCCAGCTCCACCACCAGTTCACCACCTCCTGCCAGCATCTAGGGTTCCCCGTTCCCCCCGCCGGTGACGCTACCCCCAGCCCCACCATTACCCAGAACCCATACCCCGTCGACGACCCTCCCTCTCTCTCCTCTTCCCACTGCAACCACCATTTTCGCTCAAATTAAGTTCGCAATTGAGCAATCAGAGCTTTAATTCGTTCGATTGACCTCTATTTTCAATCACAATTTGTTTTTCGAACCTTAAATCAAGCAATTGTCAATTCTTAGATTTTTCCCAATTTCTAGGGTTCTTCCAATTCCATTCTACATTGTTCGAATTTTAACAATTAGCCACAAATTGTAAGATTGTGTGTAAGGTGGTTGTTGAGGGCTGCACTAGAGGCAAGGTGGCTGATTGGTGGGTTGGGCGATGAATGTGGTTGCGAATGGTAGATGTAGCGGCGTGGCTAGGCTGGTGGTGATAATGGTTGTTGCAGGGCTGCTGGCGGTAAGTGTGTGGGCTTATGAGGGAGGTGCGGTGTTTTGTGTGGTGGTGCGCAGCTGATTGGTGGTTTTGAGTTCGGCAGTCTAGTGGTGGTGACGGTGAGAAGGAGAGAGAGGGTGGGTCGTGGGCGGGGGTTTGGGGATCTGACTTAGAGGTGGTCGAGGTGGAGCTGGCGCTGCATCACTGGCGGTCGGGGAGCCTGGATAGCGTCGCCGGCGGTCGGAAGAATCTGGGGTAGTTGCCGGAAAGGGAGATGGTGGCTGAGTAGGTGGTGGCTGGTTTTTGGTGGTTGAGTTAATTTTTTTATTTTTTTTTTAATTATAAATCTAACGAGAGTTAATATTTAATGACATAAGGTTATGAGTGAGATGAAATTTTTAACTAAGGTCATTTTTTTATAATAAAAAAAGGGGAGGTCACCATTGGTGCGTAGCAAAAGTTAGGGGTTACCGTTGAGAATTTCCCTATCTAAGATAGATACAAATACAGCTTTGATCTCAGTTAATCATCCTCCATTTGGTTCCCATCTTTCCCTTTCTAGTGTTCATTGATTTGTGGTCTATGAGTCAATTTGAAGAACAATCAACTGAATATTCTTGTGGATGCTTATATTGGGCTAAGATTTTGTTGACCAGCTAAAATAAAGCCACTATGAAATCCTAAGCTACTCTGCTTTAGTGCTTTTAGATACAAGTATTTCTTTGGTCTGTCCGTGATGAGTTCTAATGTTTGTTCGTATATTTTTTGATTAATTTGCTATTTGAAAGTACAAGATTCAATCTTAATGTTGATGCTGGCAGAAAGTTTCCTGGGGTGATATATCTCTGGCAGATGCTGAGAAGAGGCTTTTCGCCAATGCTCTCCTTGACTTTTCGAATGAACGATTTGTGCTTATTTCCGAGAGCTGCATCCCAGTCTACAATTTTCAAACAGTGTACAAATACCTCATAGAATCTGTTCACAGTTTTGTGGAGTCCTATGATGATCCCTCACGTTATGGTCGTGGCCGTTACAGCCGCAGAATGGGACCCAATATTAGGCTCCATCAATGGAGAAAAGGATCTCAGTGGATTGAAATCAAGCGAGCTTTGGCTATTGAAATTATATCTGATTACAAGTACTATGTTCTTTTCAGAAGATACTGCCATCCATCTTGCTACCCTGATGAACACTATATTCCTACTTACTTCAACATATTCCATCCATACCTTAACGCTAATCGTACTGTGACATGGGTTGATTGGTCTTTGGGAGGGCCTCATCCGGCGAGTTTTGGTAGAGAAAATATTACAGAAGGTTTCATACAGAATATCAGAAATAATGGGACAGAATGTTGGTATAATTCTTTGAGAACACCTATTTGTTACCTGTTTGCTCGAAAGTTTGGTCCAAGCGCTTTGGAGCCCTTGCTTAACATAAGCTCTAAGGTAATGGGATATTGACATATTTCATTGACTCAACTGGAATGGAGCCTCATCCAAAGAGTTTTGGTCTGGATGCTGGTTGGATCATTTCCTTTTTTTTCTCTTTCTTTTTTCTTTTGTACAGAAAATTTTGATTGGTTTAGGTACGCAGTGGAAAGAAAACAATCACAAGAATTATTATTGTTCTACTTCTACTCCAGTAATTTATTTGCATAAAATTTAAAGAAGTAAATTAAGTAGCCGGCCTTGCTGCAATCATCTTGGGACATATCCCTTCACTAACTAAAGTCATACAAGAATTTTTTTATCAATTCAAATAGATTAGATTGGATAAAAATCGTGCTACCTAATTTTGCACTATCGCTTTGGGTGCCTTAGTATTGTGGAAATGTTGGTTAACAGTGTGATCAGAAGATTTTTAACAGTCAAAATCATGGAAAGCCAAATGCAAGCTTCCTTGCACCAAGTAACCAACGACTTTGGTAAGGTGTGTTTAAAGTTTTGTTTTGTTTTTTTTTTTTTTTTTTTTTTTTTTTGGAGGTAATGAGAAGAATCTTGTGTAGACCTTAGTACCTCACCTCTCATGCTTTTTATGGTCTAGTATTTATACACTTTAAAAGGGTTAGGGATTTCCACCATCAAAGTGCCTATAGTGAAAATTAAACCCTAACCTTATAAAGGTGCAAACTTCCAACTAGATCGAGCCTAGTTTGGTTTTTAAAATAATTAGTTGTTCGACAATATCAGTTGGTGCTCTCCCTTTTCTTGTTTTTTCTATATTATACGGACCCTTGTGTTACTGATTTTCATGAGTTGTAACCAATGTTTTATAATTTACACGTACCTCTCAAGTCCTTGCTTTTAGGGCGACGGTGGGTTCTTCCGCTAATATAAAATTCATCATCTTCCCGATTTTGCTCGGCAAATTCACCGAAAAACATCATATATATATAACTAAAGTTAACCACAACTTTTTCGTAATATGTTTTATCTCTCATACTTTTACCCAACTCCACCACACAATCTTTCTCTTAAATCCAACCATATATAAATAATATACTTGGTAATAATTAGGGGTGTCAAAAACTCACCCGGTCCAAAAGGTTTACCTATAACCGAACTGTTTTCGAACTGGTTTAATCAAAGAATTTTTATCCGAATTCGATCTGGAGTCAACCCGAAATTAACTCATAACCAACTTTAGCTGGTGTAGACACCCAAATGTGTCTTCCCAAAACCAAACCCAGTGATGATACCTTTCAAGTCATTTGATTATCGAACAAAGCGAAAGTGTGAAAAGTCTAGTGATGAGGTTGTTTTTATTAAAATATCTCTTCTTTCTGTTTTTGAAAATATTTCTTTTCTTACCCTATTTCTGAAAAACGTGCATTCCAGTTTAGTTTGATCCATGATATTGGTCCAATAATGGTGTAGTTGGATGGGGTTTGAAAAGACCTTTCCAACGATATATTATAAGCCCAATTCCGATGAATAATGAGGAAGTTATGGCCAAAATACTAAATTGGTCCCAAACCGGGTTTTAGCTACGACCCAATGATCATGTGGAGGGTCAAAAGGTTTAATCCTATTCCTAAACTAATTACTATCTCCGTTACATATTATTTGCAACGATTTGACATAAAGTAGAGAGGAAAAATGTCTAATCGTTGCAAATAATATGTAACGGAGGTAGTAGGATTAATTAGAAGCTTCTATAAGTTTCTAAAAGATCTTAATTATCCTTTTTGAAAAGATAAGATTAAAGAATTTGAGGAAAATAAAAACTTTCCTTTTTTAAAACTTTCCTTTTCTTAAATCCTAATTGTATTCGAATTTAAAGATGTTCAAAGACAGTCAGATTTTATTTTCGTGCCTCATAATCTTTATCCAAACTTTATATGGTTGGATAGATCTTGAAATTATCTTTCCAATGATATATTATAATATTAATTCCGAGGTATAACGAAAAAGATATGAATGAGATACAAAACTCTATCCAAAACTGACACCGTTCCACTATTTCGGCCATATCTTTTAATATACAAAAGATTTTAATCTGATTTTAATTTTATTGGAAATTAGACCTCACGAGCTTTCCAAAGACATATTATATGCCTTATTTTGACTTCTAGATCAAAAGATATGATAAAAGCAAAATCCGTAAAAACTGCTGTCCATCGAGTTCTATTTCGATTCGAATTCGGATTCTCTTCTTGTTCTTCGACCCTCTTTTTTCTCTATAAATAGAGGTCATATCTCCCCTTTTTCAATCACCAACTCTCATCAAGAAATTCTTGATTACTCTCTCTCTCTCTCTTTCTAAACCAACCCTTTTGCATACAAAATTCCACATTCACAAGATCAAGAAACACCTAGCCAAGTTCGAAGTTGCCTTCACCCTAGACGTGAAAGGTTTTTATTTCTGAGGGTTTGGTACCAAATCTCTATTTCAATTATTTAATTTAATTGTTTGTTTTATTATTTTCCATGAATTTACTAACGTGTGTATTTTGTTATTAGAAAGGGATACGAGACATCCAAGTAAGTACTTTAATAGTTTAATTGATATTATGATGTAGAAATCATGCTTAAATTGTTATTTTGATTCCTAGTATCATGTTAGGATGTTTTATTTCTTCTTAGTATCATGTTTAGGGTAAAGAATAAGTTCCTTAAATCAAGTATGATTGTTATGATGGTTCCTATTTCTCTTCCTAATATTCATGTTAGTATCATGTTAGGGTTAAACCTTTGATCTTTATTGCTTAGTAACATTGTAGGGTTTGTTATTAATCTTATTAGTATCATGCCTAGGATCTTGCTATTATTATTGTTTCGGGGTTTTCTGATGTCCTGCGGGAGAGTTACAATTCCGAGACTGGAACCGGACGCCTGTACCTGCAAAATAACGGAGACCCCTGGGAGCTCCGCCTCCAACGGTCAAGTTAGTACTTGATTAAGGAGTAATTGATGCGGAAATTAAAGTGATTGGGTCTCTCTAGGTGAGAGTGATTAATGTTTGTAATCTGCTTTGTTAGCGAGATCATCCGGTTATTACTGTGTGTAATTAATGTATTTTTTCGTTTTTTCTTCCTTAATGAGGATTAAGGGAGGTATTTATAACCTTGGGAAACATGCCCATCCTAGGTTTAGGTTAACCTAGGGCCGATTGGGCTTCCCTCGGAAGTTGGGCCTGGGTGGCCGGTTTCTCCATTAGGCATGGAGTATGCCACATGTCATGACATAACAGGTCCAAGGTGGACGAATAAGCACGTGCCACGTGGCAAGCCCTGACAGTTCCAACTGGGGGACACTTGGCAGGATCTGATTGGCCCACGTGACGCATTCCGATTGGGAGGAGCAAAATCCCCTAATCATTTGCCCCTCACAGGTGGCACGTGATTGGTCACGTGTTACCTGTGACAGGTGTCGCACTGTAACAGGCGGCGACCTTCTACAGGTGTCAGTCGGCGAAAGGACGAGATATTTTCCCGCCCAAATTTTGAATTCTGAAAGTGACCCTTCGCCTTCTCACTTCGCCTATATAAGGGAGGATTGTCTTGAGTCATTTTCACACTTTGAGAACTTTTTGAGAACATTCGGACCCCTGAACTTGCTCTGACATTTCAGACCTTTTCTGCCTACCGCCTGTTCTGACAAGCCGACTGCACAGGATTTTCAGAACTTCATCAACCGTCACTCGTTCAGGTAACTGTCAGTTCTCTTACTCTTACTCTTAATTTTCTTTTTATTTTTTGAAATGGCACCACGGAAGCACACGACACGACCTAGGTTAGTGATCAGCCGGTCACCGGGGACGGCTAAATCTAGGACTAGGAGTGCCGCCTGCCCTTTTCCGGACCCATCTTTGCCCTTTATACAAAGTCCGACTGTATCTGTATCTATGCAGAGCAGGATGGCCAGAACGAAAAAGACTGCTAGGATCTCAAATTCAGACGGCTCCTCCCACAGGGTGCCGCTTAGTGAAACATCTGACCAGGCGCCAGATGTGGAAGTGAAACAAGGCGGCCTGAAAGCCGGCAATTCTGAGGGAGGAGTCATAGTGACCCCTTCCCATTTAACAGTTAACAAATCTGCTCCTTTTCAAAGAGAGGAGGTGGGCCCCTCCGGGAGAGGGGAGGAGTCGTCCTCTTCGGACTCGTCAGAGGACGATTCTGAGTCAAGCTCTTCTGGCCATGCTTCTTTGGACACAGAAGAGAAAAACAGCCGCCTGCAAGAGGCGAGACTTTCTTACGCAGTTGAGAAGGGGGACAATTGGGCGGAGCCATCCGCCTCTTACCGAGAGCTAAATACCCCCTACTACTGCACGGTACCTCGGGGCCGGATCACAGCCATGCAAGAGAAAGTGGAGAGCTTTATTGCAAACCACACCATGGGCCCCGACTTTCTAGTGTTTGTGCCGGATCCAGAAGACACAGTCGTCTGGCCGGCTGGTTCCAGTTATGATAGCGCCTGCTTTGGCTGCTACGAGGCGGCCATCAAGGCAGGGCTGCGCTTCCCATTACATTCGGCTGTTCAGCGGATTTTGGATGGGTATGAGTTGGGGTTATGGCAGTTAGCCCCAAACTCCTGGGTCAACGTACTCGGCTATGTGGCCGGGTGCGAACTGCACGGGGTGGAGCCGAGCTTCGAGGCTTTCGCCCATATGAACTATCTCAGCCGGACCCCTAAGACAGGCGGAACCGGCTGGTATCAATTGACAAGCCACAGGGGCTACCTCATGACGAGAGGTAAAGCAAACAAGTGGAAGGACTGGCGGAGCACCTTCCTCATCATTGAGAGTTCAGACATTGAGCTGAACAAGCGCTTCAATAGGTGGAACAGGAATCCGCCCCTTCTTGCAGGCGACCGTAGCATGCCGCCTATTCCCCCCAAGGCTAGGAAAGAGATCCTTGATAAAGGACTCTTTAAAGTAGAGTCGAGGGTCGACTCTACTTCAGGGGTACGAGAGCAAGTACCCCTGCACTGCGTCCCGAGCTTCAAATGGCTCTACGACGAGAACTTTTTTGGCCGCCTGTGGCCTCAGCAGTCGGTGCTCAAGAGGTAGTCGGCCTGTCGAATACTCTGTTGTTCCATACATTTCTTGTTATGACTTTTATTAACTTTTGCCGTTTGTTTTTGCAGCTGACGCCATGAGCAAAATCACCGCCTCCAAGACTGCGGCGGCCATGTTGCGGGCCTCCATCATGCAACAAGCTTCAACCGACTCCCCTAAGAAGGGGGCACCCTTGGTGAGCTCCGAACCTTTCACCCTCTTTTTGGAGTTGTGTTTATGCATATACTGACTTTTTTTTCTTCTTTTTTAGACGGGTGCTCCAAGAGCTTCATCTTCCCAACAGCCGGACCCCAAGGCCCGGAAGACGACTGTTGGGAGCTCTCCTGGTTCTGCCAGGAAACATGTGGCGGCTGAAAAACAGCCGACCACTTCTTCAAAAACTCCAACTGGGCCGTCTAGAAGTAAGAAGTTGTCCTTGAAAATTTTAGACTCGATCCCTTTTTTACTAGGTCTAATCCGTTTGTTTATGCTTGATGCAGCCGGCCCTCAGGAGCCTGACTTGGTAGAGATGGCCAAGTCTATGATCAGGGCAGTTCCTCCAGCTGAAAGGGAGGCGGTCAGGGGTGTCGGCACCCTTGACCTAGACGGGATTGCAGGGGTCCTTGCTGAGGTATACTTAGCATATTTTTGAGTATTTGAATTTCTGGACGCTTGTTTTCTTTTTGTTTGGAAACTGACGCCTGTTCCTTTGTACTTAGGCCCTGCTCCGAGTGAACGGCCTTCGCAAGCCGCTTGATCGGAAGAACAAAGAGGTAAAGGCTGCAAAAGCTATGGCCGCCTCTGACTGTGATAAGGCAATGTTTCAAATTGCCCAAAATGAAGTTCTGACCATTGATATTCTTTATTATCAGG